GCATCATCGAACGCGTTCTGGTACTCGCGCCGGATGAGGCAAAAGCGCTGCCCGAGGAGACCATAGTAGCGCAAATACGTGCGCTCCTGCGAGCAGCACTCGATGAGCATGCCGCAAATCTCGACTTCTTGGCCCGGACGGATGTTGAGCCGGAGCAGCTTGTGCGCGCACTCTTCGTGGCTCACGCTCGACATGATGGTGAGGTAGATCGTGCGGCGGAGGTTCACCAGGTCCTGCTCGGAAAAGTCGTGGATTTGCATCGTCGTCGCGGGCGCCGGCGTCGCGTCGTCGTCGTCATCCGAGTCGTCGTCCGAGTCGCCCGACTCGTCGTCGCCGTCTTCGGCCTCGGAATCTTCGCCGAGCAGCTCTTTCTTGATCTCTTTCCACATGCGTTCGTTCTTCTCAAAGTCCGGGTCGAACCGGAAGATGTCGAGCTTGTCCTCGACGTCGACCTCGTCGTCGAGACCCATCTGGTGCGTGATCTGGTCGTTGGCCTCGACCAGATCGAGCTGCTCGTGCACCGCGGGGTAGTCGGCGAACTTGCCCTTCCGGATCGCAAAGAGGCCTTCGATCGTGTACTGGACGCGCTTGTCGATCTCGCCTTCGTGGAGGATACCGCGGAAGCGCTCGAAGATCGCGCGGAGACCTTCCGGGCAGAGCTCGTGCAGCATTTGCCCACACTCTTTCGTAAAGTTGACGGCGACTTCGACCGAGTCGTCGGTCGGGCTCGTCAAGAGGAACGTGAGCACCTCGAGCGCGAGCAGCTCCTCGACGACCTGCTGGTTGACGAGATGCGCAATGAAGCGCACGAGTGCGATCGCGACGACCTTGTCGCCACGCTTGAGCGCCCGCCGGAAGCGGTGCACGACGCGCTTCAGAAGGAGCTCGCCGTTCTCGGGCATCTTGGTGTTGATGACGGCGACGAGCGCCGCGTAAATGTGGGTGAAGCCCGGCGACGCCAGCTGCGCCTTCATGATCGAGCGCACGAGGAGGCCGCGGCCGCGCACGAGGTTCTCCTGGAAGAGCTCGGGAAGGATGTTGGCGATGTTGGACACGTTGACCTTGTTGATGAGACCGTTGATGCTCTTCCGGAGCGCGTCCCACGTCATGCGCTGGTACTCCTGCGACGACTTGTCCATCTCGTCCTTCTTCATCTGCGCGAGCTTGAACGGCGGGATGTAGACGCCGCCCGTCCGGCCGCGCTTCGTGTCGTTCGTGAGAATGTCGATCGTGCGGCTCTTGACTGGCGCCTCGGCCGCGTTCGCTGACGCCGTGTTTTCCTTCTCGGCCTTGCGCGGGCTCCCACGCGTGCGCAGTGGTGGGCTCGACCGCTTGCTCGGGCTCGGACGACGCGGGCTCTTGGACGCTTTCCGGCGCTGGTTGCGCTCCGCACTACGCTTGGGACTGCGCGGACGCTTCTGACGCGGTGACGGCGACCGTCCACGCCGACGACGGTCGTTTGAACGACTTCTCCGGCGAAAACGATCACGGGAGGCACTGCGACGCTTCTCACGGCGCGGGCTCGTGCTGCGCGATGGGCTGCGACGCTTCTCACGGCGCGGACTCGGGCTCCGCGATGCACTGCGGCGTTTGCCACGTGGGCTGCGGGATGGGCTACGACGCTTCTCGCGACGAGGGCTGGGGCTGCGCGATGGACTACGGCGCTTCTCACGACGCGGACTCGGGCTCCGCGATGCGCTGCGGCGTTTGCCACGTGGGCTGCGGGATGGGCTACGACGTTTCTCGCGACGAGAGCTGGGGCTGCGCGATGGACTACGGCGCTTACCACGGCGACCGCTCGGGCTGCGGGAGCTACTACGGCGCTTCCCATTGCCACGACGAGCGCTGGGGCTGCGGGAGCTCGAGCTCGACCGCGACGACGAACGAGAGCTTCGGCGGTCCATGCGTCTTGGTCGCTCGGTGGTGCAAAAGTATGAGGTGCCCACGCTAAGGGATTTCAGCCAATCACCGTCTCAAACGCAGTTTAACCTCGGTTTTACTTTGGTTCCACGGTTTTAGTCGATCTGCAAAGACTCGAACATGCTGCGCGCCCCGTAGAGTTCTATGCGCGCCTCAATAGACTCCGTCATGGGCCACTCGCCTGCGCATGTGCAAGCTTCCGAGCGCAACGGACGCCCATAGCTTGCGGCGTCGCGATAGCATTTGGTGTTTGTATGGGCTCGTGGATCTCCCAAAGAAAAACCTGCTTTCTTTGATACCCCTTGAAACTGCGTACATTCGGTGCGCCCCGGATCCCCAGTGAAAATAGCTTGCGTTTTGTATGCCATTTCGTGCGCTCCGAGATAGCTGGAGCGCCAGAGCCACTTGGAATTTAGCGGACGACCAAGGATGACGACGGCCGCTCGCCCGACGTTCAATGCTGCCATGGGCAAGAAGAACGAGGGCGGATGGAACTCGGGCGGCCAGATCAGCATGCAGTTCTCGGCGCGCGACCTTCCGGGGCACACGAAGCTCAAGACTCGCCAGCTGGGCCAAGGCACGAGCGACGAGCTCGCGGAGCGCGACCTCATCGGCGAGCTCACGGACCGCGAGCGCAAGTACGAAGAAGACAAGCTCAAGGAAGTCGACTTTGCGCAGCAGAAAATCATGCGGCTCAAAGACAACAAGACGCTCTTGTTAAAAGGCGACGAGTGGGAAGATAGGGCGAAAGACGTCCAAACCAAGTACGACGACGCGGACGACGACGTTGGCGACAGCGAGAGCGACAGCGAGAGCGACGACGACGACTCGGACGACGAGGAGGCCGAGCTCATGCGCGAGCTCGAGAAAATCAAAAGAGAGCGCGAGGAAGAGCGGCTGCGCAAGGAGCAGGCCGAGCGCGACGAAGAAGAGAAGCGCGCCAAGGACGAAGTCCTCATGGGCAACCCGCTCACGAGCGCGATGGCGCCGGCCGGCAGCGCGACCATCAAGCGCAAGTGGAACGACGACGTGGTCTTCAAGAACCAGTCGCGGAACGAACCGGAGCTGAAGAAGCGCTTCATCAACGACACGATCCGCAACGACTTTCACCGCCGCTTCCTCAAGGCGTACATTCAGTAAGAAGATCATCGTCATATATTATCTACATGCCATCGTCCATCGTGTCTCTGGTTCAAAAGACCCTGGTGATCGCCTCGCCCTTCCATGTCGGGATGAGCACTGTATCGCCGGCCGCGTTGACACCCTCGACCTTGGCGTACACGCCTTCTTGCTTGAGGCCATTCGGCAGCTGCAGGATGCACTGGCCGATCGGCATCGCGTTCTCAAAGTGGCCGGTACAGTAGCCGCCGTCCTTGAAGAGCCACTTGCCGTCGACGATGGTGTTTTGGACCCACGTGCCCACGAGCTGGCTCTTGTCGGCCGCATACTCGTATGTCCCTTTGCCCTCTTTGATACCCGCAACGTACGTCCCGCTGAAGATGTCGCCGTTCTTGTACATGAGCGTGCCTTGGCCGTCAATCGTGTCGTTGGCCCACTGCCCGTGGTAGACGTCGCCGTTGGGAAATTGCATCTTGCCGAGCCCATGCTTCTTGCCATCGACGTAGTCGCCTTCGTACCAAGCAATCTCCTTGACCTCGTCGTCAACGCGGTCGGTCCAAATGTACTTGCCGGGCCCGTGCTTGAGCCGCGCTGCGTTCACGTCGCCTTCAAACGTGTCGCCGTTCGCGTACGTGATCTTGACCTTGCCGGGCCGGCTGAGCCACTTGAGCTCCTCCGGGTTCTCATCAAGGTACTCGACTGTGTACTCCTATGCACATGCCAATGCTTTAAGTAAGCTGGAACTGGCCATGGACGTCGACCCACCGCGTCGTCGGCCATGCTGCGCCTTGCCCTGTCGTGACCTTTCGCAAAATGATCCATCGACGGTGTTCGATATAGTGTGATATACACTATATACATTATATACAAAATAGTGTTATAGGGGACGCAGGGTGTGCTACCTGCTATGATGAAGCAGGCTCATGCATCCGAGTGCAAGCGGGTACCTAGCGTGATGAGAAGGACTGGAGGAGGCTAAAGCTCACCTGAATGTTGCTTGGTAATGAAGCTTGAGCTTGAAGCAGCTTTTGGCGGCAAGATCATGCGGCACCGTATCCGGATTGGCACACTGGACCCACTATCCGGCACACTGTGATACAAGCCATGGGCAGCGACGAGCCTCCGGTCGCCAAGATCAAGAAGCCGGCCAAGGAGCTCAGCGTGCACGAGAAGGCCGTGCTCATCGCGCAAGCCAGCCGCGGCCATGCGACCAACTCGAAGCTGGCCAAGCAGTTTGGCGTCTCAAGCGCGACCGTGAGCCGTATCTTGAAGCGGAAGCACGAGTACATCACGATGGCCAAGGCCACGGACGACGATGCAGCTCGGAAGCGCAAGTTTCGCACCGACACCAACGCGCTCTTGAGCTCGCTTGTCTACAAGTGGTACCAAGAGGCGACGGGTCGGAACGTACTCGTGACGGGCCCCATGCTCCGCGAGAAGGCGCTCCGCCTCGCGACCGAGCTCTCGATTCCCGACTTCAAAGCGTCAAATGGCTGGATGGACAACTTTCGCCAACGCTACCACATTGCAAACCTCCAGACGCAGTCGAGCCTCGACGCGCTCTTTGAGAAGACCAAGCCACCCGAGCCACCGATGCTCACGCCCGACGATCTTGCCAAGGACGACGCCCTTGACGAGGTGGCAGGCCATGACGCCGCGTTCACACACTTTATCGCGCCACCACCAACACCAACGGCCGTGCCACCGCAGCCCACGTATACCGATCTGCTCCAGTACGTACACTTGAAGCTTCAAACCGCCCTTTCTGATGACGACTGCAACAGGCGCGTGCATGACCTCGAAGCGCAGGTGGCCGCCATGCAAGCGTGGCAGACGTCCTTTGAGCGCAGCGTAGCCCAGCAGCGAGAAGAGGACGCAGCGCTCTTGGCCGCGAAAGCGCTCGCCCACGACGCGCAGCTGACCACGATCCTCGACCTTCTCAAGCACGCTCCGTCACTGTAGTCCCAGGCCTCGTTTGCCTTCTCCATGTAGTATTGCACTTGACGGTCCTTCACGCCAGAAACAGCGAGCGAGCGTATTACCTCCCACAACACAATCGAGTTCACTTAGGCAGCGTCCTACATAACATCCTATCCTACTATTATGACACCGTTTTCGGAGCAGCGTCACGGCCACCGTCGCACCCACCGCCAGCAGCGTGTAGCCACACTGCGCAATGAGCTTCCTTCTCGACGCGGCCTGGATCGCGTCGTACTCGGCTTGAAGCGTCGCAAACTCTTCGGGCGTAAAGTCGTCGCCGTGGTACTTCATCGCGAGCTCGCGGATACCGGGTTGTCCAATGAGCTTGGCAAACGGGCACGCGCTCTTCGGGACGTCCGTCGGCGTCGCGAGGGCCTCGGCTTCGCGCCGGCGCAAGACCGCTTCGGCCTGCTGCTTCTCGAGCGTACTGTAGCCAGAAATGATGTCGAGCTCTTCAAAGAGCTTCATATTGAGAAGGAACGCGAGGTTGGCTTCCTCAACCAAGCGGTCTGAGACCTCTTGGCTCACGTCGAGCGTATCGAGGATCGAGCGGTACTTGTCCTTGAAGACCTTGTGCTTGATCTTCATGTTCTTGAAGTCGTAGAACGCTGTGCCGAGGCCGTCGTGGAGGTCCATGGACTTGATCGCAATGCGCTTGAGCACTTGGCCGCCCGAGAGGTCGCCGAGGTATCGCGTGTACGCATGGGCCACCAAGATGGACGGCTCGCTTGTGCCAATGTAGTGCAGGCGCGCCAGGTACTCCTTTGTCGCGCGCGTCGGCGGCGGCATGACCTTGGCCCAGTTCGGGCCAAAAAAGAAGGCAAGGTCCGTGGCGATTGCATCCACGCGGTTGAGCTCCGTGGGAAAGTGCAGCGGGCTGTAGATCGGGTCGTTCGCTTCGTACGCGGCGCGCATCATCTCTTCGAGCTCGGTGTAAATGTAGTAGTACATGGCCAGCATGCACTTGTACGCATCGCGGTTCACGCGGCCTTTGAGGAACTCGCGAATGTAGTGGACGTTCTCGGCTTCGCGGTGGGACTTTTTCGTGCCGTACTTTAGGTCCTTGGCCAGGTTGACCGTCGGCGTCTTGGGTGGCGTCGGTGGCGCGACGACGGCCTCGTCTTCAAAGAGGCCCCATGTTCGCAACTCAAGCTCGGCGCCGAGCGGTCGGTCCTGCGGCGTCACGCCTGTCTTGTGGCATTTCGTCACGAGCGCCGGGTCAACCTCCTGCCGCTTGGTCAAGCTCACTTCGTGGATGAGCTTGAAGAGGTCCGTCATCTGCGTCGCCACTACAGGTCATATATCCATAAGCTCCTTTGCCTTAGCGGTCCATCATGAGTGAGCTCTACATGGGTTGTCCTCGGCGTAGTGGACCTCGGGCGCTGACGGGTCGGCGAGCGTGGAACCTACAGAGCGCCTCGTCCATGAGCGATCGCGATGAGTGGGGATGTGGGCGTCTACCAGCCTGCGCCGAGGCGTCCCCATCGTGGAACGTCTTGGCCTCGAGGGGCGATGCTTCCATGGCGGCGAGGCTTGGCATGCTGCTGATGCTGTCCCGGCGCAGAGCGAGTGCGAAAATGCTGTCGAGCGCATGGTCGTCGGGCTGACGCGCGGACGCTGATTGGCTGCAATCTGGCTGCGCGCGTCGTGATTGGTGCATTGTCGCAAGTTGGGTGTCGGGCCGAGAACGTGGCGGGAAAAACACGCGCACCCCCAAAAAAACGTGTTGAAGCTGCAATGGACTGGACGCGGCCGACGACAGCCAGCTCCAGCTTCGCGTCGACGAGCTATGATGCCGATGTCTAGGAGCGAAGCTCGACTCTAGTAGAGGTTCACCTCTGGTTTTATGTGGACTCGATGAGGATCGGACGTGCTTGAAGGGACTTGAAGCCGCAAGACACTTGAAGCCGCAAGACATGCAGGTTGTCTCTCGAGACAACAATACATGTATCATCATCATCATCATCCGAGGCTTGGAAAGACACGCAGACGGCCGCATATCCTACCATCTATCATTCGTCGTCATTGGCAGGAGCAAGATCATCGTCGTGCCGATGGGGACGTAGCCACGCTCGGTGTTGTACGATCGTTATAGGTCCAGAGTAACCTTGCATACAAGCCTGTGCGCGATTCGATTTCCTCAAGCGATCAAGTCTGTCACATGGGGCGAACGCGCATGCAGCCTCCCGAAAAGCCCAAGCTGGCGCTTTGACAAGCGTTGACATCATGCCATGCATTATTGCTCATTTAGAAGTCTATCAAGTATTTAAGTACAAGGAGCTGGTCTCTGGACTCCACCTGTGCAATTGGATCAGCCCGAGACCGCCCCCTGTCTGTCCCAGCATCATGGACTGTTGGGTTTGTTTTTTCGGAAAGAATACTTTACCGCCCAACGCTCAACACAAGCGCAGGACGCGTTTTGGCGCGTTTCTCTAGAGAACGCACTCTCGTGGAAGGGGCTTCAAGTCTTATCAAGCATCTACACATGCCACGAAACAGATCTGCATCTTCAAGTGCTCTTCTGGCGGTGTTATTATATCGCTAACCGTTGTAAAGTATCGATCCAAGCTGCCGGCATACATGAGCGTCGAGAACGAGCCCGCAAAGCTGACGAATAGCATAACGTAGGCGCCACTTGTCGAGGGCGCAGAGAGCACAATAGCGCACCCCGTGCTGCCTCACAGAGCATCAGCCACCAGCACGTCGAGGATTTGCGTGCCTCCTCTCGGGCGCGGGCACGATTGTGTGGATCATGTTTGCGTGCGTATGAGTTGAGCATGCACGGGAACCGCTTCCGCGTCCAAAAGATTGCATGTACTCCCTCAGCCGTACGCACTGTACTGCCGCCGATCGAGTGCTTTATCACCCGCTCGCGGGAGATGTGTTGTATCGCTCTGTCAAAGGTTCCACGGGCTCTAGCCGTCGTCGCTCGCATACCGGGTAACTTGAAGAGGCGAAATTGGCGCCAAAAGGCGGGATGCATTCGAAGTGAATGCCATACTATTTCTACGTGGTGCTAGTGTGCTATTCGTTCAAAGGGTTGCCCGACGGTCGATGCTATGGAGTCAAGCACCGGTTGTAGCGAGAAGTCTCGTATTCCCTTGGCGTCAACCGGTCGCTTGATGACGCTAGGCGGCAGGTTGAAGATCGGTCGCATGATGGCTGCACCGCCTATTAATAGGCAGTTTTTGACACTTGGCCTTTTTCGTCATTTCGTCATCCGGCAGATCCGAGCATGGCGACGACTGACGGCTACTGGGGCGCGCCGACAAGCAGCGTAGACTGGTACTTCCCTTGGTACGTGGCAAGAGTCTCATCATGTCTGCATGCAGGTGCGAGGACAACTACGTCTGGTCCTACTACATTGCCGAGTGGTGGAACTCGTGGAGGTACCGGCGGCGGCTTTGGCCCATGCACCAAACCAATCATACATGATAGCAACGTGCCACCGCTCGCCTTGGCCCTCTACGCCATGTACAAGTCGCGGCAGGCGTACGCTGACAGCGCGCAGCCGACCTCGATCCGCATCGCGTACCTCGTGCCCGTCATCGTCTTTGCCGGCTCGTTTGCCTTTCACTCGACCTTGACGTTTGTGGGCCAAATGCTCGACGAGCTGCCCATGATGTACGGGACGCTGTATTTTCATTACATTAGCCTCCGGCACAACCCGATCATGAAGTGGGTCCTCGTCGCGTTCGCGGTCGGGCTCACGCTCATGATGGCCTTCTTTCCCGAGTCGCCCATGCCCTTTCGCGTCGCCTACGGCACGCTGGTACGGCACGATGCAGACATGTAGGCGACGACGATGGACGATGCGTAGGTGGCCGCGCTCCTCGCCCGCAGCCTCTTTTTCAACGTCAACCACGAAGATGTCGGGCACACGCGCTTGCTGCAGCTCGGCGCACTCCTGTACGTGGCTGCGTTTGGCCTCTGGCTGCTCGACCAGCACTTTTGCGCGACCGTCAAGCCACTGCAGCTCCACGCCTTGTGGCACCTCCTCTCGGGGACCGGCACATTTGTGTGGATCCAATTCGCCTGCGCGCACGAGCTCTCGCGCAGCAAGAAGACGCTGCGCGTCCAGCGCATTGGCGCCATCCTTCCCTACACGACGGCCCACACGGCCAAGTAATTGGTACGCAGGTATCAATTTTGGATTGCTATTTTTCAACTTTTCCAACCCCTGCCTTTTGTTATCTACTACAACCACAAAGTGCTATCCGCGATACGTAGTACTAGTACTGACCGAGGCCGTGTCAGTGTGCTGCGATGCACAATATTGTCTGTTGACTTGTAGACACGATGCTTGTATTGTCGATCGTGCGATTAAGGATGTAAATATTAGTGGAGAGCCTTCAACCTAAATCTTAGTGCTGCTTGAAGAAGAGCGAGAGGCCGACCGCGGCGCCCATGACCAACATCGAGACGCTGTACTGCTTGAGGAGCTTCTTGCGCGCTTCCCACTTGGCCGCGTCGTACTCGGCCTTGAGCTCATCAAACTCGTCCGCGCTCATGTCGTCGCCGTGGTACTTCATCGCGAGCTCTTTGATGCCGGGCTGACCAACCATCTTGGCAAACGGGCACACACCGCCCGTGCGCGTCTCGACTTCCTTGGGCGCGGTCTCGGCCTGGCGGCGGCGCAAGATGGCGTCGGCTTGCTGCTTCTCGGGCGTGTTGAAGCCCGAGAGCACGTCGAGCTCCTCAAAGAGCTTCATGTTGAGGAGGAAGGCGAGGTTGGCCTCCTCGACGAGCCGGTCCGAGATGGCCTGCGTCACGTGCAAGTTGTTGAGCGCGTCGCGGTACTTGTTCTTGAACACCTTGTGGCTCGTCGTCATGTTCTTAAAGTCGTAGAACGCCGTGCCGTTGCCGTTCTCAAGGCCAAGCGCCTTGATGGCAATCTTCTTGAGGATCTGGCCGCCCGAGAGGTCGCCGAGGTACCGCGTGTACGCGTGGGCCACCAAGATAGACGGTTCGTTTGCGCCAATGTACTGAAGACGCGCAATGTATTCCTTGGTCGCAGGCGTCATGGCCGGCATCGTCGACGCCCAGTTGGGGCCATAGTAATACGCCAAGTCCTCTTCGAGCGCCTCCTTGCGCTCGAGCTCTTCGGGAAAGTGCAGCGGCGAAAAGATCGGGTCCCGGGCTGCGTACGCGCGGCGCATCTGCTCCTCGAGTTCGCCGTAGACGTAGTAGAACATGGCCACCATTGTCTTGTACGCGTCTTTGTTGATGCGGCCCTTGATGAACTCGCGGATGAAGTGCACGTTCTCGGCCTCCTTGTGCGACTTCTTGGTACCGTACTTGAGGTCCTCGGCGAGGTGGCCTTGCTTGCGCGGCGGCGCCTCGTCGTCGCTGCTGTCGTCGTTGAATTGGCCCCACGCGCGCATCTGGAGCTCGTCCACGAGCGGGCGGCCGTCCTTGGTGATCGTCTTGAACGGGCACGTCGTGACAAAGACGGGGCAGGCGCCGACCTCGGTCTTCTTGGCGCGGCTCACGTTGTGGATGCTGTTGAACATGGCGAGGACCGACTCGGCGGCGGCCGTGCCCGTCTCGTGGTGCGACGCCGGGATCGCGGCCTGGAGCTCGTCGTAGAGCGCCGTCATGTCCTTCGTCTCCTTGAAGGGGCAGCCCTTGGCGAAGAAGGTGCAGTCGGCGACGCGCTCCTTGACGTCCTTGAAGGGGCAGCCGTTGTCAAACGCCGGGCAGTTCTCTTCGATCGTTGTTGCGGTCATGCTGGTCAAGACGCTGGAAATTGCAAAATGACACTGGATCCAGCCTTGGCCACACCTTCATGGTGATTGGACCGGGACCGCCTGCCCGCGCTGTGATTGGTCGGCGGCAGGCGCGATCGGATTGACAATCAACCTGATTTCGCCGATTGGCAGGATCCGTCATAATTATGGATGATCAATCCTTGCGATCCTATACAAAGTTCAAGGTAATGAGCATGGCGGCTGCTGTAATGCCTGATCGACAATCGTTTGGTTGACGTGATGGACGCCGTGTATACAAACGCCAAGTGTTCTCAGGGCGCGATGAAATTCTGTCTCGGCATCCAGTGTGTTGGATCATCGAATTGCATACGACATCGGCCACGACGCGTGGTGCCCTCGTCGCTCCGAGGCACGCGTCGACCTGATCCAAGCAGTTGCCGCGCAGCTGCGACGGCTTCTTCCGTGGAAGGGCTGCTGGTGCCAATAGTCTATCGTAGGAATCCGATGCGGCTCGCATCTGCCTCTCATTCGCCCACGCCGCGTGCCCGATGACGCTACATTGGGTCTTTGAATATCATTTCGGCACCAACGGGTAGACTGCACGTGTATCGCGCACGCGAGACGGCGGAATGGCGGCTTGTTATTTGGCAAAAGGCCGAGTCCAAGCACCCGAACAGAGTTCTTATTGCGCCTTGGCACGGGGTACGAGAATGATGGGCTTCGTTGAGTCGTCCCTTGCTCGTGGAATTTGGAGCAAATGTGTACATCGAACGGTGGTGGTGCTTCAAAGTAATACAGTAACGTTAGCACATCCGTGGGTTAATGAACGTTGGTACTCGGGTCGGCGTTTCTTTCGCAAACGGAGTTCGAGTGTGGTTCCGGCGTGAAGGTCCACAGTACAAGAACGGCATCGCAAAACGATCTCTCTTTCAACGCCACCAAGGTCAGAGAACGGCGCGTGTCTCGGGAATCATTGGCGTAGCATGGTTAAACAGACTTCAGTTCCAACAAAGGACAATAATGCAGTACTATTAGTATTGTACATGTTAGATGTGGACCAACTCTCGTAGTACGAACGTAGGGTGCGTTGATGAGGTTGACGGAGCACTCGATCGGCTGCAGTATGGCAGAATGCACGCGATCTTTTGGACGTGGAGGCGCTTCTCGTGCATGCTCAGCTCGTATGCGCACGCAAACTGGATCCACACAAACGTGCCCGCTCCCGAGAGGAGGTGCCAGATCGCGTGCAAATGCAGTTGCTTGGCCGACGGACAAAACGCTTGGTCGGCGATCCAGAGTACAAACCCTGCTGCGTACAAGAGCGAGCCGAGGTGCAAGAGACGCGTCTGGCTCACGTCCTTGTGCTGCTTGTGCATGACAACGCTGCGCACGACGAGCGCGACCGTCTACCCATGGAGTACAAGCATGAGTACGAGATCCTATCCACGAATCGAAATATGGACCAGAAAGCCGTAGGCAGATTGGAACGCAAGGGGGGCGTGGCCGGCGATGGAGAGCGCGATCGTGAGTCCGACGGCAAAGGCGACGAGGACCCACTTCATCGTCGCGTGGTACCGGAGGCTGATGTAGTGGAAGTACAGCGTCCCGTACATCATGGGCAGCTCGTCGAGGAGCTGTCCTGCATACGTCAGCGTCGAGTGGAACGCGAACGAGCCTGAGAAGATGACGAGGGGCACAATGTAGGCATAGCGAATGATCATCGGCTGCGCGTCGTTGGCATAGGCGAGGCGCGACTTGTAGAGGGCGTAGAGAGCAAGCAATAGCGGCGGGACGTTGCTAGAGGCAGCAAGATTATTCAAGACGGCCACGGTGTACAAGTACCTCCACGAGTTCCACCACTCGGCAATGTAGTAGGACCAGACATAGTTGTCTTCGCACCTAGTATGAAGATGCGAGGTCGATTCATGAATCATGCAGCACCATGAATCATGATGCTGCAGAAGATATGGTTCACCAGTCGACGGTGCTCGTGGGTGTGCCCCAGTAGCCGTGAAGAAGTAGCGTATCATTGACACCGGCCATTATCCCGAGAGAAGGCGAAAGGGATTGTGCGGTAGGAGTTTGGTCCGTTGCTGGTCGACGTTTTTGCGGGCGGTTGTGGTTGTTGGCCTCCTGTGGTATGATCAATATCCACGTGTACAGCTCAGGAAGATGGTGCGCGAAATTGCTTGGACGGAAATGAAGAGATGCTTTGCGTCAGCAGAGACGCCAGTATATTTTCTGGCGACGGGACTGTACTATCCAGCTGTGAATGATCCGAGGACCACAAGCAGACGCGTATTATAATGACGTACTACATTTGTAGTAGTGCTTCCTTTTTGACTTCATGAACCGTACCACTCTACTATTGGAATGACGCGAGCGGGCACCGACCGTGATGGAGCGGTCGGATCTCGTGCTCGAGCTGCAGTAAGAGCTCGTTCGATGTGGGGTCGCGTACGTCCAGAATGCGAAATTGCCGCCACTTTTGCGTCTCCGCCCACGAGTCGCACTTGTCCTCGTAAATGGCGTTCGTCCACACGAGCTGCTTGGCCGCGCATGCGTGGTACGCAGCCTCGAACTCGGTCACGTAGATGCAAATGTGGTGGCCGTCGTACGCCAACAACACGTCGTGCGTCTCCTCAAAGAGCAGTCGCTGCAGGGGGCCGCAGTCGACGCTGCACATGTGCAGATCGCTTCCAGCAGACTTGACGAGCACCACGGTGGCTGAACCGAGAAGCTGCTGGTAGAACGCGCCGAGGGCGATCGCGGTGCCGGGACGCACGAGAAACTTGATGTAGGCGAGCCCATCGCCAACGGCCGCGTTGCCCGGGTGCGCACCCAGCGCTGTCGAGGTTGCTGCATAGTCGTGCGGTGACTCAAAGCACAAGATCAAGTTGCCCGAGGGATCCGAGACTGCAATGTGGCGGTAGCGCTGCGAAGCCTGGGCAAAGTTATACGCTGCAATGGCTGGCACGACATCATCACCCATGTGCTCGTGGAAGGCTTGATCATTGGCGACGAGTCGCTCCTTGAGAGCGTCGAGGCTCGCGTAGAACAGCGCGATCTCACCGTTGATGCGCTGGTCCGCCGGCTGACCAGGCAGTAGATGGAATTGGCCGAGACCAATGTTGGCGTGGACCATCCACTCCAAACGCGGGTCGCGCGCACATCCAAGAACGCCCAGGTAGAAGCGAGCAGTGGCTGTCGTCGGGTCGCCCGAGGCTTTGATGGCCAAGTTGATGTGTTCCAGGAGCGCGATCATTGTCGCCAGGCCGTGCGTGCGGAGATTCCGAAATTCGAATGTGCGTCGCCAATCAAGTGTTTAAAATCACGCCATTTTTAACCTTCTGTCCACATTTTGCCATCCATGCAGGACGAAAAAGGACTGCAAAGGACTGATCGACCCGCGTCCCCAGAAAAGCGAGTGATCGCGTGTGTCATGTCCACACAATACATGCTTCAACTCTAGAGTACAGAGCATAGACATCAGCCAAGGAGCGGTGATTTAAGCCACCTGGTTCAAAATTCCATGGACGTTGATTCGCTGTTTTTGTTCTTGTAACGCGTATTGCGCACTACTATCGAGTACCGCGTGTTTAAATATTCAAATCAAGTCACCTAAATTTGCACCTCAGCGCGCGCGATCGGCAAGGAGCATGCAGCCGACGGTAGGAAGATGGGGCCGAGGAAGCATGGAGCTCATGCTCGTAGCAGCTAGGATGGAGGTCCAAGCAGTGTCCTCTGGATGGGTACGCAGCGCGCTTGAAGGTCGGCGACGAGGAGTGGAAGCTCAAGGTCGATGCGCTCCGGGACATCCACAGCTACGTCGCCGCCAACGCAGGCAGCATCACCCAAGAGAACCTCAGCTGCCTTGTCGTTCCCTTCCGAAGTCTCGTACGTACATGGTGATCCTAGCGCTTCCAACGACGTGCGACTCTCCACGTAGTTCGTCGAGCTCCGATCGGCCGTCGTAAAGGAGGCATGCGAGGTCTTTGCAGCAATCGCAGTGCATTTGGGCCAGAAGACGAAGCTTCTCATCTCGAACGTCTTCTCAACGATGATTGACGCCCGAGGAGGCACCAACAAGGTATGGTCTTCCTGCTTCGCTGGACCCTCCTCACGATGCTGCTATCCAGGTCAACAGCAGCGCAATCCATGGTTGCATCGAACGCGTGCTCAAAGTCGTCATGTCCCGCCATATCCTATCGACCTTCTTCTATGTGTCCAAGACGAGCAAGTACGTTGTCTTAATCGCGAGAGGTATGACTCGGAGTTCATGCTGGTCGACGTAGGAACGGCCAGATGCGAGATGCGTGCGTCCAGTACATGCTCATCCTGCTCAAGCACTGGACGTTCGCGCACTTGGATACATACCGCGGGCAGATCCAAGACTTTATTGCGGTAGCTATTCTTCGAAGCAAACGCGCGTGCTGATTGCATTTTGCGGCAGAGTGCGCTCAGCGATGCATCGCCCGTGAGCCGCGATGCGGGTCGCTCGTGCTACGCGTATGATACCTATCTCTATGCTCTGTGTACTGATATTGTCTTTGAATAGCGCATACGCCTCGATTTGGCCCGACTACAAAGACGCGTACGTCATCATCATACAGCACCATCACACTCATGCCCAACATAGCTTTTTGATGACGCTCGAGCCCAGCGTGAAGAAGCATCTTGCACGACAACTCGAAGTTGTGACCGTCAACGCACATACGACGAGCCCCCACGATGCTCGGGCGACTACCGACATCCTCACACCACGGGTTCGCATTTTGGACATCACATATGAGTGACGGTGGCTAACCAAACGTCTGTAGAACCACAAACGCAAGACCCTCTCCAACATCACCAACACGCCCGACACCATCAAACGACGGGTACTCGCGACGCTCTTAGCCTGTATGTTCTACTTGCGCGTGGCGTGCGATAGAGGAATCTTGCAGTCGCGAAGGTGCATACCGGCGCGTCTCGGAGGGTTTCGACTGATTCCCAACAGAGTCCCAGTGTAGAAATCGTGGCCACCCCGAGTCTTGCTGTGGCCGGTACATTGGCACCCTTTCTGTGTGCAAATGCTAACACCAAGAATGATAGCCCCCGTGGCCACACCGCACTCGAACCACGAGACTCTGAAAAGTCTGTCGGCGATGCCAACTCCTGTACATACTCCGGGTGGCTCGACTGACTCTACATCATCAGAGCTGTACTTTGAACTCCTCTGCGAGAAGAAGGCGACCGAGAAGAAGCTCCACGCGCTCCAAACCAAGTTTGTCATCAACGCGGACGCGCTTGCGCGCGCAGAAGAGAAGATCGAAGGACTCCAAATGCAGACGGAAGATGCAGCAACGTCGGTGCAGACTTCGTCTTCGGCGAACAATCCGGACGCGGTCGCGCTACACGAGACAGTCGCTGCGATGAAAGCCAAACTCAAGGAGAAGGAAAACGCAATTCTTCGCCTCGAGCTCAACTTGGACGAGTCCCAGACGGCGCTCAAGCAGACGTCCGTCATGCTCAAGGAGTACAACACGGCCAAGGAGGAAGAGATCTTGGCGCTGAAAGCGCAAGTATCTGCCATGGAAATCCAGAGCTCCCTACAAGGGTCACCAAAAGAGCCCACCGCCGACGACGCCCGTGTCGCGGAGCTTCAAGCGCACGTTGATGACCTCGTCAAGCTGAAGGCGACTTTAGAAGAAGAACTTGGCTGCATGGATGAGACCATGAGTACCGTCCAGGCCAGTCTCTTTGAGGAGCAACAACAAGTAGAGCTCTTAAAGGCGGAGCTCTCCCAGTTGAAAGCCAGCTCATCGACTTGCGAGGTAGGCCATGCTGCGGTTTGATCATATATTTTTCTGAGGACGTGATTAGTGCCAGACCGAAATTGCGTGCCTCCAAGATCAGATCCAAGTCCAGCTCGCCCAAGGAGTCGTGCTCCGTAAGGAGCACCGAGCCGTTGAGGAGGAGGCAGCTGCGCTCAAAGCTGAGATGCTCGTGCTGAAAACGGAAGGCTTGAATACCCACAATGCCGACATCCTCGCCGCCCGTGACGAAAACGCAGCATTGGCGAGCCAGCTCGTAGAGTTGCGCTCCAGCATACAAGCTTTGGAGTCCCAGAAGGCCGCTTGGGCGTCTGAGCGTCAAGCTCTCGTCGACGGCAGCAACCGTCACGCTGCCGAATCCCAGGAGCGTGTGACGCGCCTCGAGGCTGAGCTCACGGACGCACGCCTTCAGCTCACGGCCCATGACGGCGACAAGATGCGCCTTCTGTCCATGCTTGAGGACTGCCAAGCCAAGCTCGCTGATGCGACAGCGCGCGTTGACGACAAATCAGCTCTCGTTGAGCTGTACAAAGCCAATATGGACCAGCAAGGCTCCGTCGGCGCGGGCCTCGCGCAAGAAATCGCTGTGATCAAGGGCGAAAAGCGAGACCTCGAAGCCGACAACGAGAAACTACGAGCCCAAATCGTCGCGCTCACGGAGGCGCAGTCGTTGCTCGAAACCGAGGCAGCGGCGATCGACGCATCACGCGAAGCCGAGCGTGGCGCGCTTCTCTTGCATCTGCAGCAAGCAACTGATGAAAGCGCGCAGCTGCAAGCAACGCTTGCGGTTACAACGGAAGAGCGTGACGAAGTCGAAGAGCGCGCCAAGGGGCTTACAGCCGACATTGTCGAACTCCAAGACCGCGTCCAAGATCTCGCTTCCGAAGTCCGTTGCCTCCAAGTGTGCTTGGAGACGACCGAAAAGGAGAAGAGCGAGCTCGAGGCGACGGTCAGCGCTCAAGAGCAGCAGATTCTTGCACTCCAAGAGGACGATTTCCAGCGACAGTGCCGGTACGACGACACGGTGAAGGACAAAGCAGCATCGATCGCGCTTCTGGAGCGCCAGGTCGACGAGCTCCGCGGCCAAGTTAGCAGCCTTCAAGCACAGAACAGTGACCTCCAGCTCCAATGTGAAGCGTTCGAGACGCGTGCGTTCGTGTCCTCAAAGGAGCGCGAGGACCAAGCCGCCAAGTGGGTCGCCGACCAAACTGCGCTCCTATCGGAGAAGGGGGACCTCGTTCTTGCCAACACGCGGCTTGCAAAAGACAACGCGGACCTCAAGGCCGGCGTCGACGCCAAGCTTCTAACGATCGGCGACCTTGAAACGCACGTGGTGAAGCTCCAAGCGACGATCGCACAGTGGCACGAGAAGGATGCCGTGTGGGCCAACGAGAAGCTTCAGCTCGAAACTAGCATCAGCGAGTGGTCCCAGACGTGCTGTCGACACGAAGAAGCGCTCGCATCCGCCCGAGCTTCGCTGCTTGGTGCAGAGTCGGCCCTGGCAGAGCTCGACGCCGAACGCAGCGCGTGTGATGAGGAAAACAAGAAGCTCAAGCACCGCCATGACGTCATGGAACGGGCGCTCGAGGAAGCCGAGGCCAAGAAGGTACATTTGCAGCAACAAGTTCTCGCTGGTTTTGAGCGGCTCCGCGAAACGAAGCTCGAGAAGGGATGCGCCGAGGCCAACGAAATCGTCGCCACGCTTGACGAGCCCGTCCCCGAGACACCAAGTCCCGTGCACGTTGTGGCCCCCGTGCGACCTACGCGGCCAATCGATATGTCGTGGAAGCAAACTGTCGCCGCGAGTGCGCCGTCGCTTTTTCAGTCGCGGCCGTCCAAGGCCAACATCAAGGCCCAACGCCAACTCAACGGTGCACAGATTGCTCTTCGCAATGCTGATCGATGCTTACGATGCGTGCTTGTAGATGCCAACCTGCTCAAGCGCTTCCAGTCGACGCCATTGCCGTGAGATCCGACGTACCAACCTTGATGTATCATCGCGTTTCTTATTCGTCTTGCAAGTCTTGGGAAATCTGTGTTTCGTCAAACAAGCCCGTCTCGCTATCGTTGTGCGACTCGTCCATGGTGTTGAGCTGCAACCAGCGCTTGCTCTTGGCCTCGACGAGAGCCGGCGGCGCAGCCTCCCTCGGCGAGTCGGTCGTAATGTCCATCACATGCGTCTCGTCTGGCGAGAGCGCCTTGGACTCGGGTCGGTGCTCCGCCGTCATGTCTTCGTCGCTGTCTTCATCGTCGTCACTGCGCGCCTCTGTCGGCTTGGTACCCTCATCGGAGTCCGAGGTCGTCGTGAACAACCGTCTCGCTTCTTTCGGCTTGACCGCCAAAGGTGGCTCCTGGCTTTTGACTTCCTCGCTGTTCGTAGTCGCAGCCTCATGCTTGGCACTACCGGCCAAGTCGACCAAGGACTGTGGTCGCGCCTTGTCCATACACTGCGTCTCGCCATCGTCTTCGTCGTCGACGGCGGCGTCAGTGTCCTGGGCCTCTGATAAGCTTGGGATCTGGATCTGGGTCGCAAGCACGCCCATGTAGTGCTGCATCTGGTGGAACGCTTCGCGCGCGGTCGCGAGCCGGGCCTTCATGACGAGCACGCTTTCTTGAACGCTTCTGCTACAGTGGTTTCAACCTTGACCTTGGCATCTATGGCGGAAGATGCGTACCGAGAGTCTTCTTCGTGCTGCTCTCGCTTCATCTGGACGGCGTCGAGCTGCATCTGAAGCTGGTGATTCGCGACCTCGAGGTCGCGAACCTGCTGCGTCGCTTCGGCCATCTTGGTAGACGTCTCGGCTGCTTGCGCTTCGAGCACGCTAATAACACTCTGCGCGTGTTGCAATTGCCGCTGCGCGGCGCTGAGGTCTGCAGCCGTTGTGAGGTGGAGCTCCTTTTGCTGCGCCCACTCGACCTCCTTGGTCTTCCAGCCTTCTTCGAGGCTCTTGTACGCATCGAGGTGCGCAGTTAGGTCTTGGATGGTGTGGTCTTGCTGCATGACCTGCGCGCGCAGCTTGGCGTGCTCTTCGTCCATCTTTTCGATCGTCGAGTCTTTCTCGTTGATCGTGACGAGCATCGTTTGGATCTTTTCCTTGAGCTCGTTCTCACGGTTGCCGTGCTCGACGAGGCGTTGGCGCAGGTCCTACGATGGATGAGATCTCCAGGCAAGGACCTGCCACGTACTTGGTTGGCCTTTTGCATCGCTTCCGTGCCCGAGATGAGCTCATCGCGCTGCGTTGTGGATGACACGCAGAGCTTCTTGGCACTGTCAATCACCGCGCGCGGCTCGGGCGTCGAGAACGGGCTTCGCGGCCGCTTCTGGCCAACGCGATGCGTCGGCGTCGACGGTTCGCTCTTCCTGGGAAGACTATTGTGAGCCTCCAGCGATTGCATCGGGATGGTGTACGTGAGGCAGAAGCGAAAGAAGAGCGGCTCGATGCCCGGGCTCTTGACGCCCGGTTTGGTGAACGAGATCTCGTCCTGGTCGTTGATCGCGACCCGGTTCGAATGGCCCACGACGCTGCCGTTGACGAAGACGCCGTTGGTGCTATGGTCCACGAGCCACACGGACGTCTCGCCGCCCGCGTCGAGGCGCTCGAACGTGCAGTGCTAGCAAAGGACGCATGAGGAGAACCGCGATGCGAGGACCTTTCTCGTACCAGGCCGCTGATGAACGGCTTGTTGATGACGACGTCGGCCTTCTTGGCCAAGCGGCCGAGTCGGCTCCGCGGCAGGACGAGGTCCAGCGTCCCGGTCGCGCCTACTAACCGCCCCCACATCGCAATTCAGGTTTTAGCAACAGCGAGTGAGCTTCCGGATAAGATGGTCTTTATCCGGCATTTCGCCCAACTGGCGCGAAATTTGCATTGCAAAAGCAGAGAGAAAAATGATACTGCAAATCATTGAGTGCACCTATGCAACCATGGCAGCAAGGGGTCCGAGGTCGGGTCGTTGCGGATGGACGACCGAGTTACCGGTAGGCGCACGCGCCATTGTTCTGCGCCTCCTCGCACAAATGCTCCTATTCAAACGCGAGTTTCATGCTGGAAGCACCATTGGAGACGGTATTGCAGTGTATTCCCATGTCTTCAGAACGGTACTCGGCTTGATTCCGCTCTTCCTCGCGTAGCCTTTAATCCTCCGAGGGTAGGTCATGGGCGCCACATCCGTTACGAAAGAACATCATGTACACGCCGGTTTCATTCGTTGTTGCAGCGCGTTGCACCGATGCAGATCGCGGCGGCGGGTCCGTCTGTAATGGTGCCAAGCGTCCGGCCATGGCGCCACGCAGTCGGTCTTTTGTACGTTGTGGGGTCGGTCGGCCTCAGCTTCTACAGCCTCTCACTCTTTGTCCCGTATCTACAAAACGATCTCTTTTGGCGTGGCTTTGCTACACTCAACACTTCGGCGGCGCTTCGATATGTCTACAACCGCGCGCTCATCTCGTTCAACGCGACATCAAGAGTCCTCGACGTCGAGGCGCTGCCGTGGTCGGATCCGTACTTGGTGCTACCAACGTACGGGCGGCAGCTGCTGTACCAGCACATGACGGCGCTCCCAACTGCGATTGCGAGCCTGCGCCGTCTCGACAGCAGCCTTTTCACGTTTCTGCCGACAAAATACTGCTGGCTGGACTTGGAGCGGCGCTGGGAAATGGGCGTCACGACCGCCACGCAGGCCAGATGCGTGGCCAACGACAGGGCCAATGGCGCTGCGTACCTCGAGGCTGTCCTGCGCAACATGGATTTTGAAGCGTGGTACGCCCAAAACGGCCAGCGCTTCGACATGCGCGTGCTCACACCGCTGAATGCGAGCGCTGCCGGCAGTGCGTGGTCGACGCGACTCTTTGCCCACACGTTTCTCGACGTACCGAGCGAAGTACGTCTCTGGGAAGCCCACGGCATTGCCTCGTTTCAGCTGCTCTACTCGAATCACTACGAGGTCGGCGTCCTCGAAACCATCGCGGTCGAGAACGCCCTTGGGGTTGTGTCGTCGTTTACGATCAAGTCGATTGCGTCCGTGCAGCGCGGGACGCCGTCCTGGACCACCGCACTGCTCACGGGCAATTTTGAGTTTGAGCTGCAAGGCCCGGGCGTCAACCAGAGTCTCGTGCGCCACACGCCCCGCTTTTACGGCGACATTGATCCGACGCAGGTCCAAGTGTACCTGCTCGGGCCATTCCGAGGACCCATCAACGACGTCGTGCATGCGCAGATCGGGATGCTCAACAACCTTCGTCTGCGCTGGGTGCCGCCACCGCCCGACTTGATTGGTGCGGTGCAGAGCTTTGACGCTCTCGTGCTTGCCGCGCTGCAGTCGAATGCCGCATTTGCACGCGCGTACAACGCCGTGCCGGCTTCGATGGAGCTGCCACCGCCATTGTGGACAGATGCACCGACCGTCTACTTTGGCGGCAACCCCATGTGTGCGTATGGTCGTCCGCAGTCATTTCTGCAAGAATCATTTTCGTTCGATGATGTGTGCAGCAAGCAGCTACCCCTTCACTTCACGTGGACACGGCAGAGCAGTCTCTTTGTCGTTGCCAACGGCGTGAACACGTCGCGTCTCTGCTCGATCGACGCATGCACCGCGTACCTCGCGTCGGTTGCCGCCGCTGCCGAGCTCCTTGGAACCATCTCGGCCGCGCTACCAGCCTCCGTGATCGACTCGGACGTCGGGCTCATGCAGTTTGCCGCGCCGGCGTCCAACGACTCGGACATTTCGCTACAGACGCAGCGCCTCTTTGCACCGATGTGGCGTCCGCACGGCGTCGCCTGCGCGTACGACTGGGTGCAGAACGTCCGCGAGGTCGTCTCGTTCGAAGGCGACGTGCGCTCGCTGCAGCTCATGTCGGCCGCGTACACGGGGGCGTCGACAACATTTGCACCGCCGCGCGTGAGTTTGGGCAGCTACCTCTTGGCCATGACGGCCGTGGTCACCGGTGTGCTCTGCCTCGTCGCGGCTGCGATTGTCTTATTGTCGCTGCGACGCCACCGACGACACTCGCCGCCGTGGCTTCACTTCCACCGCTTGACCGCATCCGTGTACTTGAACCGAGGTCTCATGGGCTCCCGCGCGCTAACCGCGGCTCTCTGCCTCGCGACCGCCGTCGTCGAGCCGGTGGTGCACGGGCGCCCACAACGCGGTTGCAGCCGGCACCCACGGCCCA